GTTAATCATAACTAATATCATAGTGTCATCTTCTCACTCATTAACAGTAGTTTTACGAAAACATAGTTACTAATCACCAATAGTAATTATTTTTCATCATTGTTGACCTATGAAAAACATATACACATACATATATATAGGGTGTCCGGAAAGTCACGAGAGATAGAAAAATTTATATATCTCCTCCATGTTTTAGTCTAATGGGTTGATATTTTCATCGCCAATAGAGAACTGTGCATTACTCATATTCATAGGAGAAACATCGGTGAAAACTGTTTTGAAGTATGAAAACTAACTTCAACATAGATGAATAACCCTTCACGAAATACGAAAAAACAGTATTACAGTTTTCTCAACAAGTTCATTCTATTTATTGTTGAAGCTTTCAGCTTACAAAGAGTAACAAGATATCTATCTGTGGAATAAATTTGAGACTGAATGAAACTCGTGTAGAAAGTAATAAAAAAAATTCGGCGTGTTGCTTATTCTTGGGTAGGAAATAGATACATTGTTTCATCATAACCTAGGAGAGAGCATACCTCTTTAGTGAAGTCAGTTGTGATGCTTCAGAACAGTTTTTGTAAATGTTTCTGTTATGAATATAAGCAATGAACACTCCTCTATCAGCGATGAACATATCAACACATTAGGTTAAAACATGGAGAATATATATAAATTTTTCTGTCTCTAGGAACTTTTCGGACACCCTATACATATATAAGGTACCGAAAATGCAAAGATTGAGCAAAATGTTTTTTCTTCGGTTTTTATATGATTGGATAGAGCTCACAAAATTGCATAAGAAAATGTATTTATAAACTTTTTTCGAAGCCTTGGACGAGAAAAAAAAGTCAAATTACAAAAGCATCTCTATTTCATAAAAATTCGGCTTAGATTTCAGAAATCTGGGCCTTTTTTAATGCTTTTCTAACAATTTTGAAATCCCTCTTTTTCTTATTCAGCGTGCAAAACTGAGTATAGAAACTCAATTTGCGAACCGGTCGATCATAACATGATCTATATTAGGTTGAGACAAGTGGGTACGATATGCAGTTGTCACAAGGGTATCTTGCAAACCTATCTAATTTTTTTTAGAAGATTTCAAATTACGTTTTTTGTCTCATACAAATCGCCTTGATAGGGACAACAAAAATATGCATCGCTTCTTTAGGACTATTGTTCCGTTGTTGAGAAATGATGTTTTTCCTCTTTGCTGGCAAAGTCTTACAGGAATTGGGCTCGTATCGAGCGTTTTATACTATTATAGTTTCATTTGTACTCAAAACAAATGTCATATTCAGAATCAGCACAAAAAACTCAATGAATTACCTTATCTTCTAGCGAACCACTTTTGTCGACGAAAACTGACCTGTACTCCCTCCTCTCAACGGAAACTTTTCAAAAATGATACTTAAGCTACTATGATATCGATATTTCACCTTGGCAACTAGGTTCTTCAGATAGCACTGAACGAAAAATTTCGAAGAACAAATTTTCGAAACAAAGTTAAATCTTTACTGTTACTTTAAAAGTAGCGAAAGATGAGTGTGGGTGTGGCTCGTAATTTATGCTTGATTCACACCGATACGCCCACACCCACACCCTCGATTTTTTGTGGAAAACATGCAAATTGGGATAAGCGCAGAGGAAGTTAGTTCGAGGTCTGATCTTCCAAAAATGACATGATTTTTTATTCCATAATTTGTTTCTTTTCAACACGGTCCCGTCATTTTCTTGTTAAGAAATATGGTTTTTCTTCGATTCACGCATTAAGAACGTAAGAAAGCTTATTTTAACACGGGTAAACTCATCTTCGTTGCTTGCCAAGGGTTTTGCACGTTATGAGCCTTTCAAAGAGCTTTCCATTCATATAAGATACATCTAGGTTCCCACCTGTTTTGGTGAAAAAACATCGATTTTACTGTCAAAAGAAAACGTGACGGGACATTTAGCGATTTTATCAAATCTGCGATCACCAACACTTTGAGCAAGTAAAATTAAAATTAGAGCAACTTGGCTAACTCAAATAGCACATTTTCTTGCCAATCTTACGTAGATACAAGACGGCTGATTTCAGCAGCCAAACTAGTCACATCTGTGAAGAGTATATTCTGATAAAATTATTGAATTCGGTTGAGAATTCTACAAGATATAAGCTTAGCCAGTTTTTTGTCTTAATTGTACAAATGACTAGCAATTCTCTCATATACATATATACATAAGACAAGATTGGAAAAATCCCCAATACAACATAGTATAATATAGTGGGAAAAAAATGCAATATATCATGTTGGGAAAATTCTGGATACTAAACATGGATATTTCCAACATATTTAAATGTCCTAGAATTCTCTACCTGAACACTCCACGAGCTCTATCAACCTATCATGGAAAAAGAAAGATCAATAATCTTAAAATTTTGACTTCTGAATATCTTTCATATACTCTAAATTCATAAAAAATTCCATTATCTCGTTCGATGCACGTCTTGGATAGCTTATATTCTAAACTTGTTAGTTTGGTTGTGAGAGCTTTAATTTAATCCAAACATGACTAATGTTCTTTACCAACAAAAAAAAAACGTTCCATTGTTAAACTTGCAATGCACAGATAGTAATCAATTTACTTGATTTTTTTCTCTTTTTCCTCAGATGAGGGCATACCAAAAGCTACTTATTCATCAAGTTTGTACGTAATGACAATACTATCGGAATTTTTTCATTATTACGTGTTGAAGTCTATAAATAAACGGAGAATAGTGACGTGATTAGAAAAAACCGTTTTGCACAAAGGTAGTGACTCATATTAGTATTCGCTATACGTCAAAATTTCCAACAGACTCCAACATATATGAATATAAGCTGGGTCTACTCTAGCTTTTCTCTGATTACACTACTATTCAGTAGTATTGTTTTTCTTCCACTAAAGTATGGCATAGTTCTGCTGATTACTTTTCGAAGTGTGATTAGTTTTATCCAAGAGTAGCTAATATTTTTTTATTAAAACATTAGATATGTTGGAAGCTTCCAAAGAAGAAATGACTTACTTCCTTTTGACGTCATACGAAGGAAGTACGCTAATTGCATATATATATATATAAATATGTTACGTGTGTTGAACTTGAGAATGTGAGTCTGTACCATCTTCTAAATTGCAGTCACACTCACAGCTTAAGAGTATCATGCAACTAATCGCACTTTCCTCAAATCAGCCTTAGATTTTCATTCTCATATAACGGTTCACTTGAAGACAGTCTGTTAAGCATCGAAGACGAAAACGAAATACGAATTGGTCGGATCATTATCGACGAATAATAAGAAACATGTATGTGAAATAATAAATGTGCATTTTCCTATGATATTGTTTTAGACATATATCTTGCCAATTGTTTCAGAATCAATCTTCACTATTTGCCTAGCTTATGCAATTCAAAATGGCTCAATAAAAAAATGCTTTTAAAATGTATCAACTCTTTTCGAATGATATGAAACCTCTTCACAATGAACTTAATCAGTAATTTTTTTTCAATAAATGTAAATGCAACCTTTTCTTTTATCTTATTTGTCTAGGATACGATGTGAAATAGTATGAAAGAGTTTTTGTTTTGTTTGAATCGAAAACTAAAAATGAGAACTTTTAATGTTTTATTTTTGAATTGAATTGACTCGAACTGAAAAGCCCTCAAATCAAACCGAACGAACTCTTGTAGTAAGTACAAACCAAGCAAAATTCACTTCTGTTCGGTTGGAAAGTAAATTGACTGTACTTTTGTTCATTATTCTGTCTTTCTCATACATATGGCAGAGTCAAATATAATGAATCTGTTTATATGACGTGTAGTGTTTTCTGGAACGAAAACCGTTCTTTTTTTTGCATACCGTATTTCATTTTTCGTATGATTTAGTCTAGGTCTATGACGAAATAGTACATACTACCTAATTGCTATATATTATAGAGAGAGTTTCATCAAGTTTCGATTGAAATTTATGCAGCGCAGATATTTAACAATCTGTTTCGAATAAAATAAAATACTCTTCCGCACTATTTCATCTCGTATACTGGGCAAATAAAAGAAAAGAAAAGGTTGCATTTACGTTTATATAAAAATGATGACTTGAATTCATTGTGAAGAAGTCTCATATTACTCGATGAGAGTTGATAGACTTTAAAAGCATTATTTTTTATAATCAACTTGAATCACAAAAACCAGTCAAAGAATCGATATTTGTTCTGAAACAATAGGTAAAATATATGTTTGAAACATTATCATAGTACAATACACATTCATTATTGCACATACATGTTTTTTATGATTAGTCAATATTCATCGGACACCTTTCTATTTAGGTTTTCACTCTCTTCATAATGAGCTTGAAAATGAAGAACGAATATTCAGACTTATTCCAGTTAAATAGTATCGATCCTACAGATTTCTCCATATATGTAAATAACATTATTCATCAACTGATGTTGTAATGACCTATGCAATAGAATGAATTCATTTGTTTGTATCTTAGAATTATGATGCAAGAAGACTACGATCAAACTCAAAATCAGATTGTTCATCGCATTCACTAGTAAGTTATGTTTTGCAATTAAAACTTAGCTTTGTTGAAATAATAATTTTCTTTTTGTAGTGCCCTAAAAGACTAGTTGGCTTCGATGCAAAAAACAAAGATTCTCTATCATCATATATTTGTTTTGTTTGTACTCTTTTATTACGATATCCTGTTCAACTGATTTGTGGGCATCGTCTTTGTCAATCATGTGTTAATGTTGAAGTAAGGTAAACAAAATTATAATTTTTTTTCTTTATAGTTACTAATTGATTTGAACTAAAATTTTTCTTATTTGAAGCTCCATAGTAAAATGCAGCAAATGCGACGAAGTGACATTACGAGATAGAGTAAGATAAACTGACTTTTCCCTGTCTTTACAAGTATGTTTAATATGTTTTCATTGATTTTAAGATAATTCTCGATAGAGGTTGTCAACTTGACATGGAAAAATTAAATATTATTTGCTCACTTTGTGATTGGAGTGGAATATTTAAGGATTATCAAGTAACATTATTTAATTTTTCAATTATCTATTGTTATGTTTTTCTGCTTTTTAGGAACATTTAGATAAAGTTCATTTGAATCCTTTCTGTCAATTTTGTGGTAAAGAGTTCAATATAGTCGATTCTCTTACGCAGCATTTATCTATTTGTGAGAAAGCTACTCTCAATTGTGTCCTCAAATCATATGGTTGTAATGAACAGGTGTTTAAGAAATTCTTATTTTAACATTATTACTCATCAAAGATACAATATTTTTAGTTTCTTCGTACAAACATACGAGAGCATTTTCTCAGTCAACAACATCAACATGTTTTACTTGAATTTCTCACTGAAAAGATTCAACATCTGACAAATAATAAAGATGATGAATCAATAGTACCTTATTCTACAACAAAATCTACTGATAGAGAACTTGATGAGTCTTCTCATGTTAATCTTCAACAATTATTTGAAATGATGGATATTGTAATTAGTGGTCTTAATGTGTTAAATGATGATACTCAACGTCTCACCTCTGAATCATTTCAGTATCAACGTTCAATACAATCCTTGTCCGAAGACGTATTCAGATTGAATACCGCTATTAAAGAAACTCATTCGTCGATAAATGATCATATAACCAGTCAACAAATAATTGAAGAAGGTCTTACTTCACTTCAGCAACAACTTGATGATCAAAAGAATATTTCCCATAATGGCACACTTATATGGAAAATTACAAATATTCAACAAAAAATAGGTTTGTTAAATAGAGTCTTTTTCCAAATAATGTTTGACTTAACAAAAAAAAATGATTACTTTCAGATAGAAGTATCATACAGAGAATTACCATGAGTATTAAACTTAAATCTATTGTTTTGATATTATTTGTATTAGAATTATTTAATGCCAAAGCTGTTAGCATTAATTTAGTTTTATTTTTAATTCTAATACATTGATGATCGATGATTAGGTCTCAAACACTTTAAGCTCACAAGTTTCAAAAACCCGAACGTTTTTGTTCTGTTTTTGGAAATGAAACTTCCTGTCAAAGAATCTTTGTACTGTTATTGTAAGCTTTCGAATATGATCACTGAGAGGTACAGTTCCAGGTAACAAATGTATTAGAACCAAGAGATAATGCTAATTTAATGGTAACCGCTTGGCATTAACTAATTCTAATGCAAATAATATCAAAGTATTAAGATTCATTTTAATAATAATGCCTAAAACGCAAGCATTATTTTAATCCATTAAGAACGGGTTTATTCTATAAAGAAATATCAATTTTTGAAACTATAAGACAATGTACATATAGATACGGGTAATGGACAGAACTAGTATGCACTAGAAGAGAGAGAACTCATGAAAATCATAAGAATACTATAACGATAAATTAATAGTAAGTGTCATTATTCATCGAAGATCCAAGAAAACTACAAAAAAAGAATGAGTCTAACTACAGAAAGACGAAAGATGAATGAGAGCAGAACACGAATAACAATTTTAGAATATATTTGAAATGGTGGACTCATGATCTGTAGGATTGTCTTTGTCATCGGAGTATTGTAAGAGATTAGTGGTGTAGCCATATCATGTGACAATAGAGGAAAGAGCTTCCAGAATGAATAACATTCATTCTACGAAAAAACGACTGTAATTTGTGATGGAAAATTTCTTTCCATGATTATTCTCCTAATGAAAACGTTCAAGCTACGCCTCTATAAAAGACATTCTGGAGTCAGTTACTAATTGAATCAAAATTGAAGTACATACAGTGGAGTGCAAAAAAAAATTTACCGTTGCACTAACGCATTTTCTCGAGTCATATCTGTGAAGCGCATGAACGGATTCTTCTGAAACTTTTATCAGTAATCAAGGATGTACTATAGATTTTAATCAGAGTACGACTCCTCAAAAAGTGTCCTTCGGTACAGCGAGAGACATCATGATTCGAGTGTCCACCGCTTTTCTAGAATATCAAACAGTCATCTTACACTACCACGACTAGGGCAATCGTAGCGCTGCGAAAATCGTCTTCTTAAAGAAGGACTATGTCCATAGTATCTAACGAAATACAAATGAGCTCCAACGACACGGCATCGTAAAAACAAACGGAGGATCATGGTGTGTAGAACTACCAGAACAAATGGCGCTTCCACCAGATTTTCAAACTATCTCAACAATGACTTGTCTGACCGACTTGCAATTTTCATAGTAGACAGACCTTGACTAGTAAATAAAATTTTGTTCTAAGTGAACAATTCTCAAAATTCATTTTCAGCGTCAAATAGAAGTCAAAAGTTGAGAAGGTGGTGTTGCATTTCTTTCCCACTCTAAAAATTGAGAAGACATCGTATCGAGCTGAATTTTCGGCTACAGGGTCTTGATCCAAAACAAGGTTCATAGCTTCTTTCGCTCTTCTCCAAACACACCTTTTAGGCTAGAACACAATCCGTGTACATAGGAAAAACGATCCTAAGTTATTTGAGTGTATCGATGAAGCTATAGTGTTTACTGCTTTTTTGGCTGAAGGGAAAAAGAGCTAACTATTGATTATTATATTTGTGTACTCTTGTGTATGTATAATCTATTTATAAAAAAAACTTTCAATATTCATCATGTTCAGTAGAGTAACTTTATCAAATACTAACAGCAATTANCTAATCGAGTTGATTTTGGTTTAAGAAATAATGATATTAAAAATCCATGTTCATTAATATCAAATGCAGATTGAAGTTGTATTGAATGATGTAAATGTTCAAAAAAGAATGAATAAAGAAATGAATCAATTTGAATTAAACGCCAAGCATCGTGAAAACATTTCATTAAGAAATTATTTATTTCAGTTATTAAAAATTTTGAAATTAATTTTGGAAATATATCTGATATTAAAATATTTGCAAAAAGATTACGTGCCATTGGTAATGATCGAGGTAATAATACATTATCATAGGGAAAATCAGCATTTATTGAATAATATCTAAAGAATTAAATAAACATCAGTTTTTTTAAATTTATCAGTTCAGAATAAATTGTTTAAAAGATCAATCAGATTTAGAGACAGTTGGATTCGAGTGCGAAAATTTTACATTCGATATGCTCCAGTCGTCTGAAAAATTTGTAGGTTGCACTAGTCACTGAATACAAAAAAAAAACACTAGGAAAAAGTATTGCGTATTTTTGGGACGATTACCGAATTCTGATTAGAATATTTCATTGAAAGTATCAGAGTATATACGGTTCAAAGGGATCCGGATCCGAAAACTTTAAAGCCAATAAGCTCTAACTAGATCCTATCAGAAGAACTATTTGAATAGATCTGATCGTTTAAAAATTTCAGCTAATAGGAACTGATCTGTTTCAATAGTTCAGTTCTTGGAATTCGAAGAATAGAACAAAAATGGTTCACACGATTCAGTTTCGAACTAGAACTGAACTTGTTGACATTAATAAATGATATCAAAGATATTTGTTTTATATTCTAATATATTTTTTCTTTACCGTTTAATAATTTTACAAGCAAATTCTTGTATTTTTTCTTGTTGTGTTTTATTTTGATAATATTCTGCTTTAACCAACAATAAAAATCCATATGTAAGTATAGATTCTACTGTATTTGATGTTTTTTGTAAATGATTAAAAGCTATATCCATAATTTGTTCGATTATTTTAAAATTATCTGGTAAATATTCTAAATGAAATCGATTATCATATAAAGATAAATTTCTCAGAAAATATTCAATAACACTTAATTGTTCATTTATAAATCGTTTTCGAATCCATTGAAGAACATTATTTACACTTTGTTGATCTGTTGAAATAGCACATTGTAGAAAAAATGAATACATTCGTTTTCTTTTGTTAGCATCTGAACCACATTGTTGAAAAAGAGATAAAAATTGATTAAAAATTTCTGAATTCATAAGTTCATAACGAAGAAAAGATCCATGTTGTTCAGGATTAACTAATTCAGATTGATCAAGTTGTTCAAATAAATGTTGAGCCAATGGTTTAATTAATTCTGGATAAGCACTCAATACATACAAATCAGTTTCTTTACCAGTTTTTAACAATTTATTTAGAAATTCTTCTTTACCAATACGTTCTTTGACGACAATATCAAAAAACCATTTACGTTGTTGACGAAGACAATAGAGTTTTTGTGATCTTATATCATTAGCTAACATATAAGAAACGAGGCAATGTGTATCATTTAGAGACCATTTACATGTTTCATATAATATAAAAAAGAGATGAATATAATTATCTATCGAAAATGAATTAGGAAACATAAAAGAACATAATTCTGTGCCTGAACAATCCCAATGTGATTCATATTTAATTATACCTAAAACGATGAAAAATAATAAAATCTAAATAATAAAATCAATTTTATTTAATAAACCTGGTTGATGAGAAGCAACTAGTGTTATCAATTGAATCATTTCATCCGGAGCTTTATCAAACATTCGTTTTTCTTCAGATACAATAAATGCCGGTAAAATTCTTTTATGTTTTTCCAATCGATTAACATGTTCAATTGCTAAATTACACATTGATTTAGGTTCTTTTTTTGCTAATAATTCAAATAAATTTTTATTCTCTCGACAATAATTCCATAGTATATCATTATTCGTATATTTATCTATTAAATCACCTTTAATTAAATGAATAATAATAAGAGGTTGAAAACGAATTAATTTCGAACGAAATGAAGATGAAAAATGAATTTGACTGTAACGTATTAATGACCATTGAGAAAGAAGTTTGATTATTTGATCAAATGAACAGAATGGTAATGTATGAGCATCAATATTGAATTCATCATGATGAAATAATTGAGTTAAATGAAAAGCAAGATCATAAAAGAATGAAGAAGATTTTTTTAAAAAATGAATATGATGAAGACATTTAAGAATTTGATGTTTTATACTAAAAACATATTTAAAAAGTTCTTTTCTTTTCTTTTTTTTTTATTTAGAACTATCTAACAATGAACATACAGTCGAGGAATATTTGAATCTGTAATTGTTTCAACTACAAATTGATGAACTTGTTTTTCATCGTGTTGAAGTCGAAGCCACGCTTTAGCAGCATCAGCACGTTGACACACTGGTAATGAATCATTTTTGAAGATTTCAAAAAGATTTGTTTGATTTTTTGTTGATTTAGATAAAAATATTAACATTTGTAGATCATTATAAGATCTAGCAGATAAATTTTTTAAATGTATTTCTGTTTCTCTTTTGTCTGTCAAAGATAATATATAATTAATACGATCAGTTGATGATCCTTCACATTTCAATAATTTGTATTTTTCAATTAATGACATTTTTAATTACGAAAGAAAAGATCACTAATTAATCTGCAATGAAAATATTTTGTGCAGAAAATAAAAGCAACAGACATATAGTCGATTGATGTTAAATGAATTCATCAGATAAATATATTCATTTACTATTTGAAAATATATAATAACTTAAGTCATTAATTTTGAGACGCCATGATTGAATGACTATACGTTGTTCGACATGTATTCACAAAGTACTGTGTTCAAACCTGACTATCATCATTCATGGAATGCTCCTAGAGGCAAGTCACTAACGGTTAGTTGTCGAGGATAACTCATTCGATAACGTGCTGACTTCATCGTTAGTTAATATGCAGAGTAAAAAATTCCAACACAGATGTACGTCACGACAACGTAATTCCTATGTTGATCGCTAACCTAAACATCATAAATAGGGGAGCCTTGAACGAAAGGGATGCAAATATCGTCGTCTATAGAAAGAAAAGGGCGAACGAACTTGATTGCATGTGGGTCCTAATAGCAGCTGGCCCCAACGAACGATACACCTATGGGACTTTATTAATTTATTATTAAGGTAATAGTTTAATCTTCACATTCTATCATGTATTAAAACAAGTGTATAGAAAAGGTAATGCCTGTATCAATCATCGTCAAATATAAAGTCTAGTTATGCTTATCATTCAAGGTTGATCAACAGAAACTATTGACACAAGATAGATACGTATAAAAAAAATAATCTTATACGTCAAAATATTTCACCAATACTCAAAGCGAACTGTTTTCAAGATGAATACTTTCTTTCGAGCTTAATTTAATTCCGTTGTCATAATAATTAGTTTTTTATTGAGACAAGAGATAAGCATAAATGCTGGTTATATTTGAATGACATATTAAGAAAAAAACCGATGTCACAAGACAGTAGGAGTCACAGTCATTATCATTTTTGTCCAATGAGAAACTCAATAAAATTATATACCTATGCAAAGAATAAATGGCGTTACAATAAATCTCTGTTTTATTTTTTTTTGTTATCTGAATAGAAATTTACAATAATCTATTTATTGATTTGAATTTTTCAAAAACATATTTTCTTTTGTTTTTCTTTGACAGTCATTTTTTCTTTTTATATGAATAATCGTTCAAGTTTAAAAGTCACTTAGAAAGCTTTATTATCATACAATAGGACAGTTGATACATGAAAACTTTATCAACATAAAATAAATATTAAGGATGTTTTATTTAATATTTTTACTTTATTTTCTAAATAATTGTTAGTGAACTTAACCAATTTTTGTCTTTTAATAATCGCAATAAATGATAGTTTCATCTGCGTGAAATAAGCAAGGTCAAAATCTGTTAAGGAATGACATTTTCTAATTATAAGATAATGATTCTCTTTAAATGCAAATATTTTTGCAATGAAAAAATTTCAGAGCGCACGTATTAACTATAAAAATTGTTGTCATTTTGGTTTATTCATTTATCAGATATTCTTTTAAATTATTTATTTCAACTTCTTCGAAAATATACAATAAATTTATAAAAGTGAAAGTTTGTTAGTTCCATATTTCGGCCACTATAGTACCGCAATGACAAATTTCACATTTTTTTTCAAGATTCGGTCAATCACACTAAAATTTCAGTTTAACTCATTGAAATCTATGATATCAAAACTACACATTGGTCACATATTTAATAAGTTGTTCGTAGGAATTGACTTGATAAAAGTTTTTGTATTGATTTTACATGATCATAGTCGGTCTATAACACAATGAAATAACAATAATGTAAAAATTGATTTATCTCATATTTCATGAAACCAATATCCAACTCGTCATTATTATATAAATAGTTGTTTGATAATATAAACAAAACAAGATTGTAATGATTCTTAAAAAAAAATTATTCTATTTATACCGAAAAATGAATTTTCCATTGGTTTAAATAACCCAGCCAAGTCATAACTTAAACAATAGAAAGAAAAGAAAATTTTAGACATTCAAGTCAATATTTTATCTAGTGTGGAAAACAAGGAAGCAGCGCCCCTCTCCAAAATTTGTAGTTATTTTTCTACACACTGTGTGTCTATACATCCGAAAATAAATGTTCATTTTCCTAGACTTTGAAATCATCTTTTCAGAAGAGAAAATCTAGATACAACACTGATTTACACCAAGGAAAACACGAGAGAAGTAAACATTGACTCATCAAAATAGGTATTTATCTTATTTCTATGATCAACAATCATTCGGTCATGTTGTTATTCATTTCTACTAATCAGTCTTTTGTTTGTCACAAAAAAAAAAGGTAAAAAAAATAACAATAGACTGTAAGAATAAAAGACTGACATTTATGATTAAGATATTGTCAATACATTTTTATCGTCTCCCATCTCTTTATTCAAAATAACTCATGCATAGCAACGCGAAAGTTGAATGAAAGAAAAAAAATTTGTTGCTAGATATACATTCATTTTTAACATTTTGATTGATATTTATATTTTTGAATAATTTTTCAAAGCAACATTTATCTTGGATGATTTCACACTAATTGCGTATGCTTATTACCATTCATATAGAAAATGTTTTTTTGACGAGCAACAAACTACTTGACTATAAACACTTCTGACAATTACGTTTCTTATCAACATAAAACACATTGATGTACAAACCTTTTTCTTTTTTTTTCGTTTAGTCACTCTGAATAGGTGCAAAAAATGTCACAAGTTAATCAAAGCAAAAAAGAAAAAAATACAAGAAAACCAGCGAAGCAGAGAGAACGAAAAAATCTTATATTTGTCTTTCGTTTCGTTGATACTGTTCGTTAAGATACTCATTATAGGTTTTTTTTTTCCAGTATATATATATCACTTGTACATGCATCTTTTTCTTCATATAGCGTTCTGATTCTTAATTTCATATATTGTATTATATATTGAAGTATTACTAATTGTATAAAATTACAAGTAGCATTTACCAACATATTGCATTTAATATATTTACATATAGAATAGAATGGCGTTGACATTATTTTTATTTAAAGTTTCTAATATTGATAATTCAAATTCTAAATTGGATGCTAATGGTGAAAATGATGATCAATCAATAGTTGATATGCCAACAACACAATTTATTAGTGATGAAAATGCGACATTTCTGAGTGCTAAAGTCATATTTCGAGGTATATATTAATAATATATTAACTAAAAAAAAACCGAGAAGATAATAAATCAATATAAAAAAGAATGACAAACGAAATCTAAAAACTCAATCATTTTTTTTTCTACTTGAAAAAAATGATTTATTTTCATAGATGATTCGACAACACTATAACGTGTAGCAATTGTTTCCCCTAAAATACTGGTCTTGCATCGTCCATATCCATTCAATGTATTGATTATGTAATATCAAATATAATATCTTGTTATTTTTAAATTATTCACTTCCTATTTTGTCTTTCTTTTCAAAACATAATTATTTCTATCGTGATATGAACGTACTATCACCAGTATATCCATCAATATAATGTACCATATACCGGCAGCTTTTTTTTTTTTTTTAAATAGTTATATCATGATGTATTATATCAAAACAGATGAATATTTTTTGAAATCTGTTTTAACTAATATAATTGAGTTGTTTCCAATGCACTGTGATAATGCTGATACATCTAATCTGTTTATACAAGTTACAGAGTGAAAATCAGTTTCAGTTAGGAGATAAATTTTTATTATTAGATGGTACTGAAAAAATTTTGATCAGTAAAATATACATTCCTAAACTGTTTTATCCTCGTTTAATTTGAATTTGAGTAGAAAACGCTTTCTGTAATTGTTTATAGTTAGGATCAATCGTCATATGCACTATCGACAGTTGTTATAAATACCATGTTATACCGATTATAGTGCAAAAAAACATGTGACATGGACATATTGTTGCTTTTAATAGTCTATTTCATGTCGTATAAGATTTACTTTTCTTTGTCCTTGATTTAACGTATCTTGATTCATTCATTATCGATTTCTGTTATACTTATGCCCGTCTCACAATATACACTTCAAGTGTTTTGTATGAAAAGAACAAATAATTTATATTTAGTTGCTTAATCTATTATGTTGATATTTCATAGTATTACTTATTTGTTAGATAACGTGTTGAAATCTCTCTTGTAGATATGTCATATTTACAAAGGAAATTTTAATTGACTTCCTTAAATTAAATTTAAATATACTTACTAAATATATATGTAAATGAATAAAAAAAAATTCTCTAAAAAACTAAATAGAAGTTAAACATAATAATCATACAAAATAAAATGTGAGAAAAGAAAAATATGATATCTCAATGTAAATCCTTCCTTATTTTGCTCAATATATATTTTAATTGATTACACTTCAATAATAAATTTTTATCTAAGGTATCAATCTTTGGTCAAATAATGTACGCATACGTGATGGTACAGCAAATTTTATTGCTCGTGGAGATAAACCAAAGAAATTTAATTTCAATTTAGCAAACATGTTAGTACCAGATGATAAATTACGTATCGAATTTCATACGATAAATGCAAAAAAAAAGCGAAAAAAATTTATAGCAGTTTTTGAAATAATGCTTGAATCTTTAATCGATTCAAAATATATTGATTTACCTAAAGAAAATTTATCTGATTCAAATAATTACTTATTACAATCAACTGTAAAACTTAAACTTTATTATACGCCACCAGATATTGAAAAACAACTTGCTGCATTAGGTTATGGTGATACTATTGAATTAGTCGATTGGAGAAGTATGTTTGATGACGAAGGACGACATGGTGGTCATCGATATAGACATGTTCATTCAAAACATGATAGTCGAATGTAACTATTTAAATTAATATCAATCAATTCATATTTCTCTTTATTTGTATTATAGGAAAAAACTTCGTACAAAATTAGCTGGTCGTCAAGATGATGCTGATACTGATTCATATAGTGACTCAGATTTTGAATTAGCTCAAGATTCTGGAAATATTGCTGG